AAATGCAAACTTTTGCGGAGCACCCAGCGTGCGTGCGCACGCTAACGCGCGATGACGTATCTTTCCTTTTCTCTTTGTAATTCTTTCGACTGTTGTGGCTCGTAAATAAGCCGGAAACCTTGCTTGGATACCTGCTGTTTCATTCGTTGTGATGCTGGCCGACGTTTACACTGGTTTTCTACGATCGGTCTGCTAGCGTCTTCTGTCACTGCCTGAAACAAAATTAGGATGTATATTGAACATTTGAAGGTTCTTTTCAATATTGAAACGATATTTGTCTTGACGACTTACCTTATTTTTACATGGTTTACTACGTGTACCACAACGACAACTTTCAGTGTACTGAACGTTATTACCCTTTCAAGGGCTAACTCGGCTTCCATCCCCTTTCTTTCTCTGCAAGGAACTAGAACTCTTGCATGTACAAAGGGAATCCTAGGTTCAGGGATGCCGGAATTTGCTGAGGGCAAGGGGTGCAATTGGTTAACAAAAGGGCATGCTCCTTAACAAAGGGGGACCAATGTAAATGAAAGGGCGGCATTATTCAACATTCGTGTCGACCTCCCTCCCCGTCACCAATTTTTTTCGGATCAAATACAATTATTTAAGCACATTTCCTCCGTAATTTCTCACCAAAAATTCCATAAGTAATGCTTTCCGTTTCACCTTTCGCCAAATGGATAACAACTTTGCCGAATTCCTGACGACTAAGGGGTGGAACACCCCCACACACATCATCGAGCGACGTTTAATTCTGTCTGTTGTAAAAGTTTTGTGCACCCGTTACACCCATAGTCTGCACCCGCACTGCACCCACAAAGTTGAAAATGCAAAAGGCAAGGGGTGCACTTGCACCCGCTGCACCCGTGGTTTCGGAATCACTGCCTAGGTTAATGTGCAATGAAGTATCAGATGACACATAGTATATTTAAAATTATGCATATACAATGTAAATATTTTACCACCTACCATGTTGTGCCAAATTTCCTTCAGGCTTCACTAATCGCTCTGCATCTCTCCTAAACAATGGCGCATTATAGGTAACGAGCGATTTCCGACAATTTTTTGTTATGAGCAGTATAGATGCACAAATGGTGACACTCCCGTTAAAAGACGACCCATCTTATGAGTTCAATGGCAAAGTAATTTTAAAAATAAACATTGTCTAAGCGGAGAAAATCAAGCTTATAAGGGGCGGACCATTTGATTTTTGAGGGAGGAGGGGAGGGGGGGGGTTGAAAGATTCAAACTGTGCAAGAATTTCTTTCCGCCCAGGGGAACAAAACAGATATTTTTTGCTGCAAAAGTGCAGCGCAAGATATTTTTTCCCAATATATTTCGCGGCAGGATATTTTTTTGCCTCTCATACTAACGGCTTACAGTAACTTAAGGCTTTCGTATAGCTATAGTCAGAGACGTAGCCGGGGTTTTCAGTTAGAGGAGGCCGAGAACAGAATCCCAACAGAGGCCAAGGGATTTTTACTGTGCTTTATTTTATATGGTTGTTTTATATATTCCCCACACTAAAGCGTGCATGTTTATTTACAAAAAATGTGTAACTGCACCAAAACCTAAAACATGCAGGGATAGAGTAAAGTACTCGAAAATGGGGGAGGTACAGTATGCGAATGACCTGTAACCTTGGGGGTTCGGGGGCATGCTCCCCCGAGAAAGATTTTAAAATTTGAACCTCGAAAATGCTATTTCCTGCGTTTTCAGCCATCCAACAACTTTGCTGTACTAAGCCTAAGGAACACTTACTATCCTTTATTTTAAATAAGGGAAAATCACAAAATGAGCTTTGATTAATATGTAATAAACAAGATTTCAATAATGCGATTTTTAACTGCCCTCCGAGACGTCAAAAATGTTTTACCAAATATAGCTCTGTAGTTTTTCAATCGTTAACAAAATTAATTACTATAGCATTGTTTCGACTAAGAACTGTTTCGCCTAAGCATCAATTGTTTCGCCTAAGCAAGTAAGCATTGTTTCGCATGCACGCATTGCGCGCATTCTTTCGATAGCATAAAAACAACCTACATTTTCGACATTACTCACCACTTGATGATTCCTATACGGATGAAACAGAAGACTGTTGTGGTTTTTTTGATATAAAACAAAAAACTATATTACGCTCAATCTATATGGTATTGAGGACTGTTTGAGTTTCGTAAACCAAAAACTTACCATATATATAAATATATATATATATATATATATATATATATATATATATATATATATATGCGCATAAAGGCTTAGGCATAATGTGTAGTATATAAAGTTCTGTAGTGTCCCACATCCACCACACTGTCTTCTATAGTATATATATTCTTGGTATGTGGAAGTTCATCATCGGTGCACTGTGCTGATGAGCCCCAAAAAGGGCGAAACAGCTGTCCACAGTTGCCGTTGTTTGAGCTTTCCTTGAAGGGCACTACAATGTCTTTACTTATGTGCTTTATCGCCGTTTTTAAACTGTGAAATGCAGTGAGCGTGCGCATAAAGGCTTAGGTATAATGTGTAGTATATATATATATATATATATATATATATATATATATATATATATATATATATATATATATATATATATATATATATATATATATATATATATATATATATATATATATATATATATATAGGCTCCTTGAACGTGTCAATGAATTTAACAGCTACAACGTATTCAGATACTCTTTTATGAGTATAGCAAGTTATAATTAGCAAATACGAGCATTTCAGTTGAAACTTGTTACATGGATTGAATATACTCCAACTTCATGCACTTGCTACGGCTTACATAAGAGATATCATTTTTGCAGCTTGCGAAAAGGTTTTGTGATATGCTAATGAAATTTCATCTAAATGTACATTCTCTGTCGAAATTTAGATTGGTCAGACATTAGGTAATTTAACTCATTTTTAACTTCTATCAGTAAGTCTCTTTACTCCCAAGGAAAAGTAAATTGCCGCCATTGACATTATGAGTATATATATATATATATATATATATATATATATATATATATATATATATATATATATATATATATATATATATATATATATATATATATATACTCCTACTACCGAGGGTACCGTTTCGACCGCTGTAACTACAGACGGTACCGTTTCGGCCATCATCACTGTAGTGCTGATGAGCAGAATGAAAGTAACTGCTATTTACAGTTACCTTCGATACCTCGCGAATGTGGGACATAACTCAAACTGCAAGCAGTGAGCGTGCGCAATGCGTAATAGGCAATGGCTCATCCTGTAGAGCGCTCAATATCGCCTAAAGGCCATAGAGCGATATCTAACTACAGACGGTACCGTCTGGGCCTAATGGCTTAAGGCTTACCGTCTCGGCCTCATCAGTGTAGTGTATATATAGATATATATATATATATATAAAGATGAGTGTGTATTATATAATTTCCATACCCAACGCAAGCAGAAAGATGTTGTCTGCTGCGGCTGGGTCTTGAACCCGCCGCAACCTTCGAATTACTAGATCAAACATGGAAATTATATAATACACATTCTAGAACATTTTCATCTTAACATATTACGGAGTGTACAATAACACAACTAACATATATATATATATATATATATATATATATATATATATATATATATATATATATATATATATATATATATTACGCTCCTTCACTTCGGTGTTGTTGAGCACTCTGCGGAGTTGTTAATGGATGTCTATTAGCGATAATGCAAAGCTCACTACCGTTGTAGTCGTTTGAGCACTCTGGCTCCATTACGCTCTGCGCATGTCTGGATGCGTTGAGTCACCGTGTTGTACCACATGCCTTGGCGAGAGCAAGTTCATGGAGTATTAATACGAATGTCTCACCTATCTAGACGTGTACCAAGCTGCACTGACGAGGCGTTGAACGCCGAAACATGCATATCTGCAGATTGTACTCTATATATATATATATATATATATATATATATATATATATATATATATATATATATATATATTGTGGCAATGAAAGTAAATACGTAAATAGAATAATAGATATTAAATGAATAGTATAAATTTATATTCACTGTGCATTGCGTTTATAAACAAGAATATTATTGTTCTGTTACGTAAATATTACGTAACATGTATTTTGATAACTTTTAACATTATCGCATATGACAATTATAGCCACCTACCCCAAACACTTGTAGACTACTACATGGATGATACACTTCTATACTATATTTATATACTGCATATTATTGCAACAAAACGCAGCCAAAGCGAAACAAATATTCTTTGTGACATAAGTATTTCCAATTCATTTTAAAGTCGTAATTGTTCAATGTCCATGAAATTTCCTAAAATGAAGGACGTGAGTTTTAATTTTAAATTAATGAGTTTTAATTTTAATTTTTAAATTATAAATATTATGTTATAATGGTAATACGAGTGGGGTCTGGTGGGGGAGAATGTGGGTAAAGGTAGGGGAGGGTGTGGGGACGGTTGGGGGAGGGTGGATCCATTTCGTGATCTCATGATGGATCCATCACATAATTGGAATTGTTATATAAGTATATAATTATATAATTATATTAAATTTTATTCCAATGAACGGTTTATTATTGATACTTTGACACACATATAGCTATAACAAATTAAACACTTATTTACTGAGACCTCGGGAAACCAATATAATGTGTTGCGCGGTTCCTCGACCGCCGTTGTTGCCCTCGGCTTCACCTCGCGCAACAATGGCGGTCCCAAAACATCCTATTCCGTCATTCTCAGTAAATAAATGATAATTTGTTAATTTTTAAAAAAATAGTCATGGTGCGTGATTTCTTAATATCGTTTCGAATTGCTTAATTAAAGTCATGAAGAATTAGGAAAAGTTAATATTCATCATCGCTATATCGCTGTACCTTATGGAATATAAACACAAAGTGTATATAGGCAACAATATTATCATAATACAAGCATTGCTAAGAAAAAATATTAACGCGACAACTTAAGACCAAAATGAAATAATGTGCTTGTCTTAGAACATTTTCTCAACTCAATCTTGGCAAATCAGGAAATTTTTGGGGCTGTATTCTATTTGTTTTGTAACGATCCTGTACCTCGTTAGTAATGAGTGTGTTTTTGTGCACTTCTACACAGACGCGGCAAATTGCCGCCATCTGCGCCTAGGACTAATTTCTTGAACTAAACTGAGTTTACATATATGTACAATCAATTCCAAAAGTCTTGGGAGAGATACCACAACACCTTTGAATTTCAACAAACGTCAATGCCCCTACCCCCTGTTCAATGTTGTGTCCCATTTCTCGTCAGGTTTGATGTGTTTTGGTTGGAGCAACATTGATTGGGGTGGCGGGAGGGGGAGGGGAGCGGTATTGTGTGCGAAAAGCTGTAATAATCTACTTACAAGCTAAAACTACAATTGTCCCAACAACTTCTGAAAGTGATTGTAGCCTATAGTTATTAAGAGTGCCGTATTTTCATGGTTTGTTTATATACTGATAATTGGAAATAGGAATAATATTTAAGTTTCGCCTGTTTGAAAGGGAAATTCACTAGTAATATTTCAAAACCTCAGTAAAGATTTTCAATAGCGTGTTCTTGGTATAAAATCGCAAACGGGCTTGCATAGCGGATGTACATGTAGGTGGCGAGGACCAATAAACAGCTGGGATTAATTGGGATACAACTACCTGAAATATGCAAGGAGAACTCCGACGTTTTTAACGAAGATTCCTGATTGGGATGTTAGAGTCGTTGACTTCGGGAATTACACGAGCTTTAAATTTATGCTAGCGAATAAAAACGCGATCACGCAGAAAAATAAATCAGTTAGTTAAAATAAATCAGTTGTAAAAACTGTTTTACTTTATAAAACAAAAAAAGTTCAAATTTTTTAGTTATTTCTTTTTCTTTTTTTTTTACAAACTTAGTCATAAATGACAGGTTAACCCTACAGAGCTTAATGCTCCATTTACAAGGTCCCTAATAATATGTATATGTATATATATATATATATATATATATATATATATATATATATATATATATATATATATATATATATATATATATATATATATATATATATATTAATCATCACCATATGGCATTTATAATTTTTATATATGTTAATCACCGTAGGTAAGTATTTTTTAATTAACAGGAAAAGTTGAGGCTATCAGCCCGATGGTATATTCGAACCCAACCAGTCACAACCATTCCTGCACACCCACATGGCCACTCACCAAAGCCATGCCGAATTTGTTTACCATTTCGACAGTATATATATATATATATATATATATATATATATATATATATATATATATATATATATATATATATATATATATATATATATATATATATATTAAAAACAAACAAAAAACCCAACATTACATTATTTACAACACATTTTATCCACAAGACTGAACAACGGACGACATGCGTGTGACACTTGACACGTATACTTTTAAATGTTTGTGGAGCATTAATGTTATATATTTCTTTAGTAATTGCTTTATAATAAGTTAATAGGTAAGATTTGAATTGGCCGAAAATAACGCTTGCTTCTCGAATATGTGGTGGTAGAGAGTTATATATTCTGGGAGCTCTATTATAAAAACTGTTCTGAAAAGTTAAAGTGTTAACTCTGCAAAGTTTTAATGTAGTTACACTGTTAGTTGTAGCGCGCGCCTGGTGATACGATCGTTTGATACTATACTAATCTGAGAGTCATTCAATTTAATTGCCTTAAAGAGATACACCAAGTCCAGGTACTCGTGCCAGAAAGACAGAGGGAGTAAACCTGTTTTCAATAGTCTCCTGGTAACTAGTTTCAGAACTAAACGGCAGCGATAGGATGAATGTCGTTGCACGTCTCTGAATCTTCTCGACTTCGAGGATTAAAGACAGAGACTGTGGGGACCAGACTTGGGAGCTGTACGCGAAACGACTTTGTACTAACGTTTTATAAAGTGCGATGCGTGTACGAGGATCATGCATCTTAATGGAGGTCCTTTTTACGAACCCAAGCATTTTGTTTGCTTTCGCACATACAGCAGAGACTTGTTGGTTCCATTTGAGATCTGCAGTGATGAGAACGCCAAGATCTTTTTGAACAAGCCTTTTACAGATGACCGTTGAGTTGGCTGAGTTATCGTTGTTGAGATTCCTTGTTACCTTAAGAACTCCAAACTTAGTTTCGTTTAGGTTCATGCTCCACGTCCGGCACCATTGGCTGATTCCATCCAGATCACATTGGAGAGCTTTTACGTCATCAGCTGTTTATATGGCATGATAACACTTGGTATCATCAGCGAACAGAGCAACAGACGATGTGGTGGACTTTTCGGGCAGATCATTCATGTATACAAGAAACAATAAAGGGCCAAGGATTGAACCCTGAGGAACACCTGATAGAACGGGTATTGATCGGGATGTTTTTCCTAAAATGGTAACTTTTTGATGGCGATCTGATAGATAGTTATGAAACCAGCTCAGCTACGTTTTTTGAGAAGCAGCTGATGATCGACCCTGTCAAACGCTTTAGCGAAATCGAGATAAAGGACATCAGTTTGGATGCTCTTGTCGAGTGACTCACCCAACTCGTGTAGAACCTTTAGTGATTGTGATGTTGTAGACTTCCCCCTGAAAAATCCATATTGGAGTTTATGCAGTTCACTTGAGACATGGTTGATCAATTGGTCGTATATGCAACGCTCGAGCACTTTTGATAGAATTGGAAGTAAAGATATGGGTCGATAATTTGAAACTTCGTTCTTTTGACCACCTTTAGAAATGGGGATTATATTAGAAACTTTCCATTCCGCTGGTACACTTCCGCAAGTTAAGCTTCTGTTGAAGAGATCAGCAAGGGATAAGGAAATGTATGGAGCACAGCATCTAAGCAACTTTGCCAGAATTTTGTCTAAACCAGTAGCTTTGTTGTCATGGAGAGAGAGAAGAGCGCATTGAACGTCATCAGGTGAGATGTTGATATTGCTTATGGGGTCACAGGTGATGGTGGACGCTGGATGAGCATCATAATCTTCTTGGGAAAGAGGTTTATTAAACATGGAAAAGAATAAGTTGTTTAAGAGATTTGCAACGTTCAGGATTTTCAGCTATGACAGATCCTTCATCACGCTTTCAACTCATTTTGTTTGGTTTCATCATTTTTGTTTGGTTTCATCAACTCATTTCAGTTAGGTTTTCAAATTAATTTGTTCTTCTTTATATGCATTTTACCAATTTTTCTTAAACTAAACAGGGTAATTTAGCAAACTTTAATTCAGCTTGTCAGCTTCATTGAAAAGGAAAGCAGTGCATGTTTTACGCAATAAATTAAAGCAACAAAATTCTTAAACATTAAAAAAAACTTGCCCTATATTACACGTTTTTCCACAGCAAATCAATTCTTCTCATTTCTTCACACAAAAATTGCTGCGAAGCTCGTTGTGTGAAGCGTGATTTTCCAAATATATGCTTTTGAAAATTGAAATTTTATTTATTCCACTCCTGGCAACAGCCGTATTTTTGAGATCAGTGAAGATGACCACCCACGGTTAGTGACTCACGCCCGCGATCATTGATCAACTTTAGACTTCGCTAATGCTTCCCTTTTCCCAGGTGTAAATAGCCGGGCGGAATTAATACTCCTCGCTCCGAGATAACGCACGGAACGGCGCTCAGCGCCTTTGACTCGGGAAAAAATTTATCGAGGGAGGAAAAATGTGCTAAATTTAACATAATAACCGTAGATCTCATAAGGATTGTCATTGTTTTCTATAAATATAATACATTTTATTTCGCTTCCCCCCCCTCCCCACCCCACGAAAGCACTTTTTGGCCATATTATATCCGAGTCTCGCAAATATCATACTGTTGTTGTACTTTTACATTCAGTAATGATAAATGGCTAAAGAAGATTTCAAACAAGTTTCGTTAAGTTTTGAAGCAGTGCGTGTATTGTATCTTCGATGTTGTGTCATTCGATATTTCGTCCAATTGCCGCTATTGCAAAGCCTCGCCGCTTCTCTGCCCGATAAATGCCACTTATTCGCGTAACTCATGAGACTGTATTTTGATTACAGTATCTAAGAGCATTCCATTGTCGAAAAGTCGCAATCAAAAATGTGAAAACATTAGTAGGATCAAAATCAGGGAAACGTTTGGTACAAACAGCAACCTAACTAAACATTTTATATTTGTTGTATTTTTTACGATTCGTGATAATAATACGCAAATATTTATTGTTTTTATCATAAATCATAAAAACGCAATAAATATAATAAATTTAGTTGGCTTGCTGCGGTGGCGAACACACTTTTCGTGAAAATATCCCCCCCCCCCTGTTATGTAGCCATAAAAATAATAGATATAGAATGCGTACTCCTATCTTTTTGCAGACTCCTGAGGCGGGGAATTTCGCGCGGTTGCAGGAAGTGCGAATTGTTTTTTCAACTGCAAAGTTTGCAAAAAATTTTATATCGAGACTTAAAATGCATGAAAAAAAAAGTTTAATAAAGTGAAAAAAGTGTCTAAAAACCCATTCTAGTGGGCTTTTTTACGAAAAGCAACAGTTATGAACAGAATATATACAGAAATCATTGTTTAAAAATAAATTTTCAACGTTGTTGTGCAAGCCAAAACAAAACCCGAAAGATCAAGACAAACTCAAACGGTATGTTCTATAAATATTTCAACTCTTTTATATAATATGGATAAAGTTCAATAATTTTTTTAAACTTACACAACTACTTTTCATATTTTTCTACGTTGCTTGAGCTTGAGGAATCGCTTTTGAAACTATAGTTTTTGACGATTATTTAGGCAATTTACAGTTTATCGACAACTTAATATTTTTGTTTCAAAAACATAAAAAAACTTCGTTTACATTGAAGAAAACGAAACCCGACAAAGAAATAACTATAATTTTGTAATCTTATAAGATATTAGCAAAACAGTGACAATTGTGACGTTCAGAGCATGCATGCAAAAATGTTTTATGAGTAAGTTATATTTTACGCGAAACTACTTTGTTTACAAGGCTGCACGATTTTCACCATTTTTCACATTTTGTAACTGCACATTTGCTTTGACAGTTTGTTCCTTCAAAGAACTTAAAATTTATCTCCAAACTAAAAATTAGACAACAAGACAAACGTTTTGACGATGAAAACGTAGTTTTAGCTTTGTTTATACTTTGTAGTTTGCACTCTTAGTCAAATTCAAACATGGCGGACTTATAAGGGCACGCATGAGAAAAAGTGGAGACATTATTCGTGATCAAGTACGATTCTATATCTATTATTTCTATGTATGTAGCCCACGGGGAGTTTTCGCGAATTTGAGCGTGACTTTCAAATTATTTATTTTTCATTCTGATACTACGTGTGTTATGGAAGGATTTTCCTTTCAAGTAAAACTAATATTATGTTTTCAGTTCTTCGATGGGAACTATTCTACCATGCAGTACTCTTGTACAGTATATCTACCTGGCGAAGAAGTTGAAATAATTGGGCAAAAAAGCGGCGAGGCATTGCAAAGGCGGCAATTTGAAGGACACAATATCGACGATAAAATACACTTCACTGCTTCAAAACTTTACGAATCTTGGTTGAAATATTCTTTAGCCATTTATCATTATGTGAAAGTACCACAACTGGATGATATTTGCGAATTATAATATAGCATTTGTAAATTCTGAACGCTGATTGGCTAAGAGCCGTGTTGATATAACTCAATGTCAACACGGGAAATTTTCCGCCGCTTGTAAACACGGAAATTTTTCTTATCCTTCGGGCTTTTGACATTGCTATTTTACAAAAAAAATATAAAACATTTTTTCCGTATTGATATATAGTTATATAAACATTCGTGGAAGTTGGGAAAACTCGAAATTGTATGAAAACACTACGCCTTTCGGGCGTCGTGTTTCCATACAATTTCTCTTTTTCCCAATTACACTGTATATCAACACGGAAAATGTTTTATTTTTGTTAACTCGTGTTTTCGTGGGGGGTGCGGGGGGGGGGGTAAGTGAAATAAAAAGTATTATATTTAAAGAAAACAATGACAATCTTTATGAAATCTACAAAAATCATATTAAAATAAGCATAGTTTTTCATTCCATATCTTTTTTTGGAAATAAAGGAAATTTAATTTCTGCCAGGTTAATTTGTTAATTTATGCATAATTAGCAGTTGACTAGGGGTGATGCATGATAATTTTCTTGTAAAATATTATACTTAAACAAATTTTTCCTTCCAATAACCACAGCTTAAAGGATTAGTGTCAGGGTCATGCATTGCGGGCTTTTGTCATTGTTTACATTTTACTCAAATACTACAAATAGAGATAAAAATACCTCGTTTAGTACATTTCTGATAAGAATCATACAAAAAGAGCAAGGATGTATGATGGATTGCAAACTTAATATATGATTTTAAATACATGATGGATTGCAAACACTTTCCAGATCATCTAGTCTATTCGTCCCGAAAAATGGTCGCCAACAGGAGTTTGAGTCCGCAAATTCCTGGTGCGACACTAATCCTTTAAGGCGAATTTTCTAAACACTACAAGCATTTCAGAAAGGCTGTCTATGTCGGCACTGCCGTTTCACGACGGAGTCATTTCCAGGACTTTTGTTTCGTATTCAGACTTTGGCACATATGCCATGTTGACCGCCATGGTTATTTTACCTTAAAACAATTGAGGTTACCTGTGCTAAATGAAACGCATATAAACTCCTATACAGGTCCTATACTATCTCCATATATAACACAAATCGTGCGTTACATCTGAATATTAGTCTAGTCGCTTGTAGTTCAAACGTTGTTTTATGAAACTCACCTTAATAAATGCTTGGAGGGGGACATCATACCTCATCTGGAATTCTTTGGCAACTTCTACATAAATGGAAACAGGATATAAAGTTATATATCGCATATGATTAATATAAATTAGCGCAAAAAGAGAGTTTGATTTAAGTCTCCACATATTTAATGATTGGACAGGTTTTCGAATGGCTTTCACCATAATTCTGAGAATGGGCTTTAAGTCATATTAGATATTACTCAGTTAACTACTATTGTTTGAAATAATAGAAAATACATCATTTGATAGCTATAATATGAGACAGCTCTCAATACAAATCGAAGGTGTCCACGTGGAGAACTTTCTTATGTCGAACGGTTAAAAAATTTAATCTAGTCCTGCTTGTGTACGATAAAGAACAGAAAGATCTGATCTTTTATTATAAATGCAAGAACAATATGATAGACCTCGACGTGGAACACTATGTTGAAACTACGACAAGCAGAACACGAGCGGGAACTTCTCAGCTATTAAGATCACAAGCTTGTAAGACTAGCACATTCCGAAGTTCATACTTTGTGAGGATTGTAAATATGTTGAACTATGTCTGTAAAACTGCTCCTTCGAACAGCTTCGACACTCTCTCCTCCTTCAAAACATACCTCCACAAGACTCACTTCCAACTTACTGCCACTGCTTACACTCCTGACGTACCTAGCTCACACTCATTAATCACGGCTGAATAATATCTTCTATATCAGTCGTTCTCTTTTCCTTTCTCTTAATTTCTGTACTTTTTCTAGAGTAATTTTTTCTATGCTATATTAATGTGTTATTTTGTCTGTACTGTCCTCACTAATTAATGGTGAGCACCATACATGGGATAGTCTCGTTTGTGCTTCTCCATCCTTGGCACGTCATTACACTTTGTTATTCTTGTGATAGTTTGTGCTAGTTATGTGCAATAATGCATGTGTACCTGTTTGAATGCCAAACAAAGCTGTTAAATAATATTTTTGTTGATATGGGCGAAA